CCCCCCCCCCCCCCCCCCCTCCCCCGGGACGGAAGGGGTGGTGCCTGCACTTTGCAGGGGGTGGATTGATGACGAAGATAGATGGCCTCCAACAAGAGCAGCAGTGTGTACATTGGTGTCGGAAGGGGTGGTGCCTGCACTCTGCAAGGGGTGGATTGATGACGAAGATAGATGGCCTCCAACAAGAGCAGCAAACAGTGTGTACATTGGTGTCGAAGAAGCCCGGGTGGTGAACATCCTCATCGAATGTGGGATGGCAGATACACGTCACAGAGACTCCAACAACAGCAGCAACGAGGAATCAATGTGGAGACGGACGGATGTCGAAGAAACCCGTGTATCTTTTGTCCCATATATATGGTCCGTTCGGGCAAATATTCACAATATTTTCCCCTGCACAAAGGTGCACTTTTCTCGGGGTGGGGGTACTTATTCCGAAATCTGAAAATACCGCGTAAATCGACGGTTCAAGGCGCATCTTCGTACGTATATATATATATATATTTTTTTTTTTTTCGTCCTTCGCTCGATATGTTCAGATATTCAAGAAATCTTGCTTACTTTCTGGAGGGCGGTGTTTTTTGCAGACACAAAATCTGAGACCGGATCTGGACAGCTCTCGTGATTTGCCACCGATGGTTTTTTTCCGATTTCCAATTTGACAAAAAATAACGGAGTGTTTATGGGCAAAAAAACGGATATTGGAGGGTATTTTGCTTAGTTTCTTGGGGACAATCCAACCGTACGATTCAAAACTAAAGTGCTGCAATCGATTCCTCTCGTGATTTCCCACCGATGATTCATGTCCGATTTCAAAAAAAAACTCGGGTTTCGGAGATATTTCGGGTGGTTTCACACGCCCTCGGGATTTTTTTTCCCGCCACACACACACCAGAGGATACACACACACACACCCTTTACGCACGCAACGAAAGACGCACACCNTAGTTTCTTGGGGACAATCCAACCGTACGATTCAAAACTAAAGTGCTGCAATCGATTCCTCTCGTGATTTCCCACCGATGATTCATGTCCGATTTCAAAAAAAAACTCGGGTTTCGGAGATATTTCGGGTGGTTTCACACGCCCTCGGGATTTTTTTTCCCGCCACACACACACCAGAGGATACACACACACAC